AATTGGTACCATAAAAATAATACATTGATGACACGAAATTCAAGACAGCTTTATAATCAACGTAGACGTATTTTAAAAAAATATGCTACTTTTCAAAGTCATAAATGTACATTGAAACAAAATAATTTATATACACAGAACTTGAAAGAGTTTCAAAAAATTATTCGAGAAGGACCTGATTATGTATGTTTATCATGTGGATTAGCACTATTTCGTAATCAGGTTATACCATTTGTTGAAGAAAAGTATATAAAACAAAACATGTCATATGAAATAAAAAATCGTATTCAATCTTACTTTATGTATTCCTCGTCAAGAGAACAAAAATGGATTTGTAAATCATGTTCAGACAAAATAAAGAAACGACAAATGCCAAGCCGAGCAGTCGTGAATAAATTGAAAGTTTGTGAAATTCCATCTGAATTAAAAAGATTAAATAATCTTGAAAAACATTTGATTGCTTTACGATTACCTTTTATGAAAATTGTAAATTTAACATCAGGAAAATTATCGAGTAGATTGTCACAAAAAGGTACTAAAGGGCCACTTCATTGTGTGCCATCAGATGTAGAAGACACTGTAACTACATTACCTCGTCCAGTTGATAAGTCGATGATGGTTCGATTACAACTGAAACGACGACTAAAATACAAAGCTATATGGGAAGAACAATTAATAAATCCAAATGATGTAAGAGATGCACTATTTGTTTTAACTAAGATGCATCCAGGATATAAAAGTATAAAGATAAATGATATTCATGAAAATTATCTTACATCTGATCAAGAAAAAAACTATGACAATAACATTGAGTTAGTAGTTGAACCAATGGATGTTGACAACATATCAGAAGAAACTGTCATTGAACAAACAGAAGTATCTAATGAAAATAGTCTAAAAAGATTAGCTTTGGGTGATATTGATAATACTATTGACAGTGATGAAGAAATCAATGAAGATGATAAAGATATTCGTACTAAATATAATATTGGCACAGATTCATGTACTCAACCATGTGATTTTAATGATTTTTTAGTCTTTGACAAAGAGCCATGTGTAGTAGCACCAGCTGAAAAAAATAAATTAAGTTCATTATTAACAGATAAAACAATTGAAGCATTAGCCTTTCCTCATTTATTTCCAGATGGTCAAGGCTCATATGACGAAGATCGTCAAACAATTCTTAGATGGAAAGAGTATTGTAAAGCACGTTTATTTTCATCAGATTCTCGTTTTGCTTCAGATTCAAGTTACATCTTTTATCTACAGTATTTAGGTGACTTGAAACAAGTATACTCCGGAATCAATATTGCTTTCCGAAAAAAATTACCAATGAATGCTAAACAAAGCTTAGATGAAATGCAAATGAAATTTCTTATGAATAAAGATATGATATATCGTCATTTGCAATGTGTTCGAGGTAGTCCACAATATTGGTATAAACGTTTAAAAGACTTATTCGGAATGACACGTCAACTAGGTTTTCCAACCTTTTTTCTTACACTATCATGTGCTGATCTACGTTGGAAAGAATTCACTGATACTTTTGTACGTCACACTGGAGCTCCAATAAAAGAATCATATACATTTAAAGAAAAAACAAAGCTTTTACGTGCGAATCCTGTTCTAGCTGCACGTTTGTTTGAAAAACGATTTAATACATTTATGAATTTATTTATTAAAGGTGGAGCATCGTGTCTAGGCATTGTAGAAGACTGGTTTGCTCGTATAGAAATGCAAATGCGAGGTTCACCACATTCTCACATGCCACTTTGGGTAAAAGGTGCACCTGTTTACATTGGATTACAAACCGATGAAAAAACTCGTGAGGAAATCGTTAAATTTTGTGACAAATATATTACGACACGATTCCCATCATTAGAAGAAGATCCAATATTACACTATCTTGTCAAAGAATTACAGACTCATTCTCGTAACCATTCAAAGTCTTGTTTAAAATTGTATAAAATGTTGTGCCGTTTTGGATTTCCTCGGCCTGTTGCTCGACGGACATTCATTTGTGAACCATTAAAAGCTAAGAATGATGATGATAAACAAAAATTTAAAAGAATGAAAGAAATTCTTACTGAAATGAATGCAACGATGAATAAATTAGAAAAAGAAAAAATTTTGTCATGGTCGGATTTTGATAATCTTCTAGCAAAGTATAATTGGACCTATGAGGATTACGAATGTGCTCTTCGTGTTGTTCATACTAGAACGACCATGATTCATAAAAGAGAACCTAATGCACGATGGGTTAATCAATATAATGAAGAAATATTGAGAACATGGAATGCTAATATGGATATTCAATTCGTACTTGATCCATATGCTTGTGCAAAATATCTTATGTCATATACAACAAAACCAGAACGAGAAATGAGTTTATTATTAGAAGCAACTCATAAAGAATGTCGTGAAGGAAATATGTCCGTTCGAGAAGAAATGAAAAAATTAACAGGTACATTTTTTAATCATCGACAAGTCAGTGTACAGGAGGCTATTTACCGTGCAACTAAAATGCCACTAACATATTCAAGTCGAGGTTTTGTTTTTGTACCAGCACATTCAAATAGTTGTAAATTTTTAAAATCACAAAATATATTAAAAGAATTGGATCCAGATGACGAAAATATATATATGTCTAACTTAGCTGACAAATATTTTGATAGACCAGAAGAACCGGAATTCGATATTTGTATGGCAGATTTTGCTTCTGAATATGAAATCATATCGATTAATAAAAACATTAAAAATCCAAAGACTCCAATTAAACGATTACAAACATTAAATTTTGCTATTAAGAAACGTTGTAATCGTAATGCTATTATACGTTATCCATATTTTAATCGAGAAACAGATAGAGAAAATTATTTTGAAAATCTTCTTTCTCTCTATTTACCGATAAGAAGTCGAAATGAATTGAAAAAACCTTATGAATTGTTTTATGAAATAGGTGAAATATTTGATGCTCGACAACAATGTATAAGAAAAGTAAAAGAAGTTGTCTATGAAAATCGAAAAAAATATGAAGCTCATTGGAAAGAAACAGATGAAGCGGAATCATTATTTAATCAATTATCCGTAGATATGAAAGACAACGAATGGGCTGAAATTGTTGCTAATAAAGAAAAGGATAATACATGGTCAGGAGATATTGAACGAGAAGATAATCCCGATTTTAATATTATTCATAAAAGAAAAAATAAAAATACGTTCATTGACTTGAAGCAAACTTTTGCTACTACAGATGAAATAAGACCCTTCTTAGAATCGATGAACTATGAACAACAAGAAGTATTTTATTATGTTCGAGAATGGTGTACAAAACGTTTACATAATCCTGATGTCGAACCTCTTCGTTTGTTCATTACGGGAGGAGCAGGCACAGGTAAAAGTCATCTTTTGAAATGTCTTCATTACGAAGCAACAAAAATTTTTTCTCGTAAAAAACATTTAGAACCCGATGAGAATATTGACGAGATTCATACATTGATTACAGCTTTCACAGGTGCAGCAGCTGTCAATGTTGGTGGAGTAACTATTCATAGTGCATTCGGTATTGGAACTCAAAATAATACTTTAAGTGATAATTTATCTTGCGATAAATTAAATAGTTATCGTTGTAAGTTAGGTACACTTAAATTATTATTTGTTGATGAGGTTTCTCTTATACAAGCCGGTTTATGGGGTGCTATGCATTCTCGTCTTACTCAAATCATGGGTATACATTCGAATACAGCTATTTTTGGTAATGTTGGTATAGTTGCTATAGGTGATTTTTATCAATGTTCACCAGTAGCATCTTCAAGTATTTATTCTTCTTTACTTTGGTCTGATCATTTTGAATATGTTGAACTTAAAATCAATGAAAGACAAAAAACAAACATTTTTTTCTCACAAATGCTTAATCGTATTCGAAAAATTAAAAAAAAAGAAGATATGAGTAAAGAAGATCGTGATGTGCTTGAAAAATGTCATCAACGTTATTTGAATAAAGAATATCATCCAGAAGCATTGCATCTTTTTGCTAGAAATGCTCAGGTTGATGCACATAACGAAGAAATGATTGAGAAAATTTG